ATGCCTACAACAATAAGGGTAAGCCAAGTCAAAGACCTGGAACTAATTAGGTCTGGAACTCAACTGGGGTCTCCCATGTAAGTGGCAAGAACCCCACTATCTGAGCCATCACCTGGGCCCACCAGGGCCCAGTAGTAAGTAGTAAGAAGCTGGATTGGAAATGAGGGAGCCCGGATTCCCAAACAGCACTTCGATAGAGAATACAGGCAACCCAAGCTGCATCTAAAGGACTGCACCAAATTCCCGCCCTGGGATTCACTTTAAAACTAAATATCATCATATACTCTGTTAATCTGTAGTAGTCAGTTTTCAAGTTCTCACACACCAAGACATTTTATTTTGACACTCCAGAACTCAAGGTACACGGCCCCCCAATAAAGGTAACAGTTTTCCAGCTACAAAACCCTGATATAATTTCATTAAATGTTTAGAAACTTAGAATGGCTGAAAACAACTTTAAAAGTAAAACTGCTTCTAAGTTACACAACATACAAACACTTGCAGAATGCTCTTTAAAAATCATTAGACTTTGATACTATTTCCTCAGTTCCCTGACACCAATGATTGCCAGAGGTCTTAAGCTAAAAGCGGTAACATTAAGAAGTGGAAAGAGGTGGGGGAAACAGTCAGAGACAGGTAGATAAAGGAAGAAAGGGTCAAAGGAACGATGTGCTCAACAGCGGACAAAGGGGAATAAGGCTAGCAAAAGGAAATCTGGCTAGAAGACAGTTCTAACTATCCCGACAGCAGATTTTGGTTTAGAGGCTAAACCACCATTTGTAGCACTGGCATCCCATATCTCTCTGGCATCCTGCATCCCAGCTGCTCTGCTTCTGATCCAGCTCCCTGCTGGTGTCCCCAGGAAAGCTGCAGAAGATGGCCCAAGGACTTAGGTCCTTGCTACCTATATGGGAGACCTGAATGGAGTTCCTAGCTCCTGGCTTTTTCGTTGCAGCCATTTGGAGAGTGAACTACTGGATGAATCTCTCTCTCTCTCTCTCTCTCTCTCTCTCTATATATATATACACACACACACACACACACACACATAGTACTCTGCCTTTCAATAAATAAATCTTTAAAAAAAGTTAAAAGCCTAAAATAATGAAAGCTGTAACAAATCTAGAGAAAAGAGAGACTACAGACACCATCATGCTACTGGTCTAGAAATCCCACTTTGAGAACCACTAACCCACATGAAGCATTGGCAGTTCTTATTTTTTTAACAACTTTTAAAAACTAAAAATCCTACTTAGCTGCTGAACTATTAAAGAAAAAAATTAAAGACCAAAAGGCTGGATATGGCTGTGGGCCAGCCTTGCTGCACACCAATAAAGAAGTGAGGACTAACCTTTCCATGAGACTAATGCCCCTAAAATGCTACTGGCATCATATTAGTGCCCTGCTCCGAACTCACCCTGGTCCTCACTGCATACTGGGTAAGTCTGACCCACATGATGCCCATCTATACTCCAGGTCCCACACACTAGTCCAGGCTCATGAATTCCATCCACATGACCTTTCAATTCTTGTCCAACTGAACCACTTATAGTCACCTGCCTTTGCAACTCTGTGGTGTTTCCCAATCCAAAGTTGCTTCTTCCTGCCCCAAATACCCTTCCTTCAAAGCAAAATTCCAATCTTACATCAAAGTGATTCTATGTTCCTCACAACTAGTAAAAGCAATACCTTAACTGATGTTTACTTGCTGCCTTCAGTTCCTACTTACTTCAAATAAACTGTGAATTCCTTGACAGCAGAGAATGATTTACACCACTTTATCCACAAATCTAGCAAATAACAAAGGGTAAAAAAAGATGTACATGTGTATGTATGGACACACTTGTTCTCTGAAATTGATAAATGAACCAAATGTGATTTCACCCTCTTATATCAATCACTGAACACCAATTCTATGGACACAAGCTGAATGCTGCATGAATCACAATGGCAATCTGCAAACACATCACTCCTAATATTCATACACTTTTAGGATCAGTTCATTAGAGAAATAATGACAGAACACAAGTTACATTTTTCCAACGGTCAATGTCATCAGCATTAGGTACACTGGCATAATATTAAAGATAGCAGTTACAAGGTCAACTCAAAGTTTATTGTAGTTTTATTTCATTTATTTTTAAAATAAAAGCGAGCTTTTACAACTCAATTACTTTAAATTCACCATCAATTATTACTCAAGTTCAAAAAAGTCTCTCTCAGGGGCCAGTACTGTGGCACAGGTTAAGCTGACTGACACCTGCAATACTGGAATCCCATATCCAGGCCAGCTCCAGTCTAGGCTCCTGCACCTCCAATCCAGCTCCCTGCTAATGCACCTGGGTGAGCAGCAGACTGCCAGAGTGCTTGGGCCCATGCTACCCAGGTGAGAGACCGGATGGAGTTTCAGGATCCTGGCTTTGGACTGGCCCAGCCCTAGCTATTAAGGCCATTTGGGGAGTGAACCAATGGTTCTAAGATTTTTCTCTCTGTCTCTGTCTCTGTCTCTGTCTCTCTCTCTCTCTCTCTGTAATTATTTCAGATACATACATAAATCTTGTAAAAGTCTGCCTCACACATAAAATCCCAAAAAGAGTCATAGCCTGCACTTTAATAATAAGATGATCTAGACAATTCACATTACTGAATAGCATTACTGATTTCCCTCAGAATTTAGGGAAATAAGAATATATTTTAGCAGACAGCACTGCGGCATAGCAGGTTAAGCCAACGCCTGAGACACGGGCGTCCCATTTGGGCTCCAGTTGAGTACAGGCTGCTCCACTTCAAATCCAGCTCCCAGCTAATATACCTGGGAAAGCAGCAGAAGATGGCCCAAGTGCTTGGGCCCCTGCACCAACTTGGGAGAACTACAAGCAGCTCCCGGCTCCTGACTTCAGCCTGATATAGTCCCAACCATCCTGTCCATTTGGGCAGTGAACCAGCAGATGGAAGATCTCTCTCTCTCTCTCTCTCTCTCTCCCTCTCTAGTCTCTGACTCTACATTTCAAATAAATTTTAAAAAACTTTTAAAAAAAATCCTTTTAAATTTTCAACAGCTCATTTTTGTTCACTGCTGATAAGCAACTATAAGCAGAATTTTTTTAGCTAGACCAAAGGATTTCTCATACTAGAGAAGATACACTGAAGAAGTCTTTAGTGTAAAGTGTGAACTCTGCCCGGCTTGACTACCCAAAAGCCTTTCAAAAACTCTAAAAATTCCTACAGAATCATTTATCCACATTCCAATATAAACTAGAGCAAAAGTTCAAAACACATTAAAGTATAGGAAAACCACAACAAATAAAGCAAAGACGACCAATAAATTGACAATTGGAACTTTTTCCCTTTTCAGAGCACATGACAGCCCTGAGGAGGCTACTAGTCACTAATAAGAGTTAGGACGGATACATACGCCCAGGAGCCAGAGGACCCTGTTTCTCAATTTCTGTTCCACCACTGTGTTAAGAGTGTCGGGCACATCACTGAACTTTTCTAGGTATCTCCCCTTATGGCGAACAAGAACAGCTTCATGGGCATTCTCAGGTTGTGAGAATTATTTAGGAAGTACTTTAGGCTCAAGAAGGGAAACCACTTAATTGCAGAATGTCCCATCTGCTTAAGCAAAACTTACCTATACTGTTACCAACAGTTGCAAATCCCAATTCCTTTGTGTCTTCTCAACACAGTTTCAGTGAGTCAGTCAACAGCCTGCCCTTAACGAGCTCTTTTAGCAACCTCGGGAGAAAGGAGCTTTCCTCCGAATCTTTGTGTTCTCTCAATCCCATTCCACCACCACCATCCACCCCAATTATTGGCAAGGGGAAACATGACCCGACTTATATTAAGAAGCTAAGTCTGGTCACGGATAAGCCAATACCAAATGACCAAAGACTTCGGAATCACAGTGAAACTTTCTTCCTTAGCATACCAGAAATGTGACTCCTGAAAACAGTCCCAGGAAACCGTCGTTTTTAACAAGAGCTTTATTAAAGGGGAAGTTCCTACCTTCGCTTTCTCACCCAACAACTCTTGAAATGTGGGTAGACGGAGCAGACCCAGGAGACTGAAAACCTAAAACTAATTGGCTAGGTAGTCCCAGCACCTGCTTGGTGTTGAGCGACTAAGACCCGGGCGCCTGCTCGGGAAAAGTGCTGATGCCATCCCCAGCTGCCCCTCTAGTGAATGACAGTAACAATGCACACGCTGACAAAAGAGCGGGGCGGCCACCCAAAGCCCCTGCCTCCTACTCCCTACCCTCGGCCCCACACACAAAGCTCCAGCTCCCCCGCCCCCCAGGGCCCTCCCCGGACAACCCTCCCGGGCGGGGAGCCCGGCTCGAGTTCGCTAAGGAGGAAAAGTACCACCCTTCGCTCCTTCCACCAGCGCCGGGCACCTGGAAGGTGAGGGGAAGGCTGCCTGGCCCCCGCCAGCGCCACAGCGAAGAAGGTGAGACCCGCTCCAGGGGCGCCCCCCTCGGACCGCCGGCGGCCAGAGCAGAGCAGGGCAGGGCAGGGCAGGGAGGCCAGCGACCCCACGAGGGTCGCCGCCGCGCCGAGTGGGCCAGCGGGTCCCAGAGCACAGGGAGCACCTTGTTCCCTCCAGCCCGGTCCCGAGGGAGGGCGCGGGCTGCCAAGGCGGCGGCAACTCCTCTCGCCCAACTCCGGGCGAGCCTGAGGCCGGCCAGCCCCCGGCTGCCGGAGCGGGATGCCTGCCCCCGGGTGGGGGAGGCGGCGAAGTAGCCGCGCGTCCACTCCCCTCCCCTCTTCGGTCGGTTTTCGCGGCTTGTCTGCATCCTCGGTTTCAGCTCGTCCCGCCGCCGCCGCCGCCGCGCGGGGCCGGGCTGCCGACCTCGGCCGGCCGGGCGCGGGGCCAGGCGGCGGCGGCGGGCGGGCGGGCCGGCGGCCTGGGGCCCTACCTGAGGCTGTGTACCAGCTCCCGGCGTGACTGGCTTCCCGGCAGACCACTCGGTTGGACATCTTGGTGCCTGTGCCGCCTATGGTGCACGAGGATGAATGAGGAGGCGGCGGCGGCAGCGGCGGCAGGAGCGGCTCCGCGAGGGGACGAGACACCGCGGGCCCAGCCCAGGAGGAGGCGGCAGCGGGGAGGGGATCAGCCCGGCCCAGGAGGAGGAGGAAGAGGAGGAGGAGGAGGAGGCGGCGGCGGCGGCCCAGGAGGAGGAGATGGCAGCCGGGGCGGTGGCAGCGGCAGCAACAATCACCACAAACTCCGGCGACCGCCGGAAGATGGGGCCCACGGCGGCCTCACCGAAGCCCGGAAAGCCCTGGCCCCGGACCCCGGACCCGCCGCCGCTCCCAGCCGGGGCTGGTTCCGCCGAGCCGCCCCCACGGCCCCCTCCCCTCCCCGTTGGCCTCCCCGAGCCACTGCCGGTGACCCCACCCCCGTGACTCCGCGCCCGCCCCCTCCCCCCACCCCCCGCGGGGCTCCCCGCACCCACCCCCGCCCCCAGCGCCGGCAGGGCCCTCCTGCCTGCCGGCCGGCCGGCCCCGCCCCGCTCCTCCTCCTCCTCCTCCTCCTCCTCCCGGCCGCGCCGCGAGGTTAACGGCGGAAACCGGACAGGCCAGGCGGCATCTGGGGTCCGGCGGCCCCGCGAGGAGGCAGCGGCGCTGCAGCTCCGCGCGCACAAAAGCCCAGGGCCGGGGCCTGAACCGGGGAAGGCAGACCCGGAGGAGCCAACGCTTCCTTACTCGCCACTCTAACGGGTCCTGCCCACTGAGCATGCCCAGCACCGCTGCCAGGCCCGCCGAGGAGACTCAACGTGCGCGCTCCGCTCTCCGGGGTTTAGCGGCAGCAGAGGCTGGGGGAGGGCGCGGCGAGCAGGACGCAGCCGCAAGGCAGCCCCCTCCCCCAGCCAACTTCCTTAAACGGAGTGCACCCCGGGCACGCACGCGGGGCTTTCCGCGGGGGAGGAGCGGCCGGGATCCCCTCAAAGGCGGAGTCCTGAGTGGATTTGCACCCTCGAGGTGTCACTCTCAGGGGTGCAAGGCTGTGCCCGCCTCGGGAAGTTTATTTGTAGAGGCAGGCACCTGTGGTCCTGCAAATGCTACTTTTTGCCTCGCCGCAGGATGACCTTTAACACGTAATCGTGGCTCTTGATACTGTAAACGTTTAACTTGACGCCTGATGGAAGTGTGCTACCGTTGGCCTCAGTTATTCCCAACTGTGAAATGGGAAGAACAGCACTCCAGGGGTGTAGCCAGGATCCCAAGAGTGACCAGTGTGAAAGGGCCTGCCCACAGCGGGCACACAACAAATACTGTTTCTCCCTAGCGTTATTTCATCCTTGCTTTATCTTAGAAATTCCAATACTCCACATAAACGTCAGGAACAAAGAATTCCTTTGCAGTTGTAGAATCCCGGATGTTGAACCTGCGGGGAGCAACTGCTGTTACTACCAAGTATAACACCCCAAAACTGGGAAGAGAGGACGAGCTGTCTGCCTTCCATCAAAGATTCGGGTCTAGAATCACAAAACCGCTATATTTGAGTTTCACACTGAACAGGCACCTGGAAGAATCCACAGTGCAAACTGCCTGACCTTGAAGGTTAGCTTCCCCCAGAGCAACAAATACAAGCTCTTTAAATTGCCTATTTCATTAAGATGTTAATTATTTGAAAGGAAGAGAGAGGTCTTCCACCCCCCAGATGGCCGCAACAGCCAGAGCTGTGCGGATCTGAAGCCAGGAGTCAGGAGCTTCTTCCTGGTCTCCCACTCGAGTGCAGGGGCCCAAGCACTTGGGTGCTTTCCCAGGCCATAGCAGAGAGCTGGATCGGAAGTGGAGCAGCCGGGACTGGAACCAGCGCCCATATGGGTTGCCAGCACTGCAGGCACCGCCTTTACCTGTCGCCCAATGCATATTGTTTTAAAGGCATGTTCCTTTCCCTTCCTCCCTTCCTTTCCAACTTTAGAGCCCAAAAACTGGGTGAAATCCGTGTCCCAAGGCCTGGTCAATGACTGGACTGCTACTGACACACATTTTCCTATGGAGTGTTTTTTTTTTTTTTTTTTTTTGACAGGCAGAGTGGACAGTGAGAGAGAAAGGTCTTCCTTTTGCCGTTGGTTCACCCTCCAATGGCCGCCGCTGCAGCCGGCGCACCGCGCTGATCCTGGCAGGAGCCAGGAGCCAGGTGCTTTTCCTGGTCTCCCATGGGGTGCAGGGCCCAAGCATCTGGGCCATCCTCCACTGCACTCCCTGGCCATAGCAGAGAGCTGGCCTGGAAGAGGGGCAACCGGGACAGAATCCGGCGCCCCAACCGGGACTAGAACCCGGTGTGCCGGCGCCGCAAGGTGGAGGATTAGCCTATTGAGCCACGGCGCCGGCTGGAGTTGTTACACTATCTCTGGAGTCTGTGCTCCTTGACTCCAACTAACCTGCCCAAATATTAAGATTATATACAGCAAAAGGTAAAAACGGACAAACCAAAAAGCCAAACCTACAGTAACGGAAAAGGAAGACTAGAGCTCGGAGTCCATGGTACTCTAGAACAGCCACACTCAGGGACAGCTGATGAAATGGTAAACCCTTCATTGTAAATTTCAAGGAAAGGAAAATTGACCGCAGAATCCCATATGGGCGCCGGTTCCTGTGTGGGCTTCTCCACTTCCCACCCAGCTCCCTGTTAACGGCCTGGGAAAAGCAGCAGAGAATGGCCCAAGTGTTTGGGGCCCTGCCACCCAAGTGGGAGATCTGGATTTCCTGGCTCCTGTCTTGGGCCTGGCCCAGGCCTGGCCATTGCAGCCATCTGGAGAGTGAACCATCAGATGAAAGATATCACTCTCCCTCCCCTCCCCTCTCTGTAACTCTGACTTTCCAAAATAAATAAACCTTTAAGATAAAAAGGGGAAAGGAAAATTTTAAGTGCTGGTTGGGTGACTCCTCTTGTGGTTAATTATTGCAGATTTCGTTTATCGCCAAAAAAGTGGGGAGGAGATGAAATTGGATACAATGAGCAAAGAAAACATATTTCAGGCCCTTCCAACTAGAAAATTAAATCTGAGTCCTGGCTCTGCCACTCATTAGCTGTGGCATTCGATACCATTAGGCATCTAATACTTTCATGTTTTGAAGCTCAGTTTTCTCATCTGTCAAATGCAAACAGCAGTCATGGCTAACCCTCAGGCTTACAATGAGATTCATAAAGGTACTTGATCAGCTATTCTGTATCGTTGTTCTATCATTATCCTCTGCTCCTAGCAACAATCCTAGGTCTCATTCCAAACTAGAAATCTAATTTAAAATTAAGCTTCCTCCCTTTAAAATGCTCATTTGGACATTGCTTCTTTCCCCAAAGGGTTTTTCCTACTGATCAAATTCAACATAGACCACAATTCCAATAAAAGTGAAAGGTTAGAGGATCTTCTATTATATCTAGAACATTCTCAGTATAATCTACCGTATTCTTCCTGCCTACCATATTCTGGCTACCATACTCAACTGTACACTCTAGAACAAAATAAGAAAACTATTCCCTTACTCATTTCCCCTAAATTACAGAACATTTGTATAATGCAAAATGTTTACTTTGTATTCATGGAGCTTAATTGGCATAAGTGTACAAGTTTCATATTATTACCAAATTCCATTATATCCACCAGTGATTTGGGTATCACACTCCATAAACTTCATTCATAGTACAGGGCAAGGAAAAAATCTTCACTGATACACAGATCTTAGGAAGTACAGACTTTAAGAAATAAGAAGGTGCCACTGGTCCCAGAACTCAAACGCCAGCATGTGTAAGAACAGCATATCCATATTCACTGTAGCAGACTATACTAGCAAACTACAACTAACCACACTCTCCATCAATATGAGACTTGTTAAATTAGGACATACAAATACACCCACTAAAAAAAGAAACTGGGTGGTGTGGTCATTTGGTGCAGTGCTTAAGTTCACACTAGGGATGACCACATTCCATCCTCCAAGGCCTAGGTTTGAGTCCTGGCTCTGTTCTCCATCCCAGCTTCTCCATAATGCATACCGTGGAAGCCAGTAGGTGATAGCTCAACTAAACTCAGGTCCTTGCCAACCATTTTGGAGAACAGACTAAGTTCATGGTTCCTGGCTTCAACCTGCTCCAGCCCTGACTTTTGTGGGCACTTGGGGAATGAACCAGTGAATGGTGTCTGTCTTTCTGTCTCTCTCTGCCTTTCTAATAAACAAAGAAGAATGAGGTGGCAATATATTATTGGTATAGAAAGAGCTTCAAAAACTGGGAACTTGCCATCTGTGTAAGTGAATACGTGTATTCTCAAGCACTTGCACTTATGTGGAATGTGTGTAGAAGGAAACAAACTGAAAGCTGGGTAGCTAAAGTGCAAGGATATACCAAAGATGTCACCTTTTCAATATGTAGTTTTTGAATTTTTTATTTTATTTTATTTTATTTTTTGACAGGCAGAGTGGACAGTGAGAGATAGAGACAGAGAGAAAGGTCTTCCTTTGCCGTTGGTTCACCCTCCAATGGCCGCCGTGGCCGGCGCGCTGCGGCCATTGCACCGCGCTGATCCGATGGCAGGAGCCAGGAGCCAGGTGCTTTTCCTGGTCTCCCATGGGGTGCAGGGCCCAAGCACCTGGACCGTCCTCCACTGCACTCCCTGGCCACAGCAGAGAGCTGGCCTGGAAGAGGAGCAACCGGGACAGAATCCGGCGCCCTGACCGGGACTAGAACCCGGTGTGCCGGCACCGCTAGGCGGAGGATTAGCCTAGTGAGCCGTGGCGCCGGCTAGTTTTTGAATTTTTGTGTCAAATACATACAACTACACTTAAAAAACACCTGTTTGTATCCTGAGATTTAATTTTTGAATCTATAGGACAGTACCAAGTTGACTTTTTAGATTTTCCTTACCCACAGCTAATAGCCAGCTTAAGGAGCCCCCTAACACTGGAAGTCCCATATTAGAAAAGTATTTTAGGCCCAGCAGTGGCAACACCAGGACACCATCCTGGGATAAGGTGTCCTTTTGAGCCAGCTCCATGCTAATGTGCCTGGAAAGCAGAAGATAGCACAAGTACTTGGGCCCTTGCCACCGACATGGGAGACCCGGATGGAGTTCCTGGCCTTGCCCTAGCCATTTGGGGACCAAACCAGCAAAGATCTCTCTCTCTCTCTGCCTCTCTATTATTACCTTTCAAAACACAAACTAGAATGACACAATAGTGTTTAGAAGAGAGCTCAGCACACGAGCTCTTTTAACTTCAATCAAAATTGGTGCTCTCACCTGGCATCAGTCACCTTTGCCTCGTTCTACTTTAGAAACCAAACTTAAGTAACATTTATTAAACACAATGTGGCTCACACTGTGCTAAGTACTTTACATATTTAATGATTCCAATAAAATGAAAATCTGCTCATTTCCAAAAATTTAG